TCTTTTACGTTCGAGCGAGCTGAACACAACTCACATAATACGCGGAATAGGATGCAACAGTCCTTTAGCCGCGGGGGCAGTGAGGTTATGGCGAACATGATGCAAGCGTTCCACAGCGGCGGCCTACGGTCTGGATCACAGAGTTGAGAACCTGAGTATACTACATTAAAGGAGTGAACTACATTATATACGAAGTCTGTCCACGAGCGTCTGTAGCTGCGAGTAAATACGAAGTAGTGGAAAGATTTGAACGAATGAAGGTATAAATATCGATTGGGTATCAAATGTTCCATACATGATGGAGCTACTCCACAGAAATTTTACAGTGTGATTGCTGCGCCGAGCAAAGCACTGCCAACGACGGTAACAAGACCGACGATTAGGCTGGATTGGAGGCCATGGATAGGGAGTGCAGCACTTGACTTGCCCGTTGCCGCGCTTGCTTCAGAAGCAGCTGCGGCTGTGGCAACAGTGTATACCGAACCAAATTTGGACGTAGCGACACCAGCCCCCGAGGTAGCAAGGGTGATCGCGTCACCGCCAACGCTAGTGACGATGGTGACTGCCTTGCCGCCGATAGCTGCACGTCAAAAGTAAGATCATGAAATAAAAATGGAGGGGTCAAAGACTGACAAGTAACGGTTTGAAAGACCTGTCCAGCTTCACTGGTGATGTCCCCGCCTATGCTACCAGCCACACTTGTGACTTGACCAGCAACGGAAGTCACCCCACTGGCTACGGCGCCTCCTATAGTTGAAGTTGAGTTGGAGTAGAAAGTGATATTGGAGACGCACCTGCGCTTGTGATAGCGGAAACGACACCGCTGAGGACTAGGAAATTTGTGAGAAAGATGATGTAAAACGAGTGCAGATGGCATACTTTGACGTTCCTCAAGTTGAGGAGAGGCATATACGGAGACAGCAGACGCGAAGAGAATAGTGAGGAATATTTTTGCGTGCATTTTGAATAGTAAGAAAGAAAGTGGATTGCTTTTTTATAACATTTGCGTTGCATTTGCGCGGACTCCGGAGCCCGCGTTGCTACGCATGGCTGTGATTGATGGCTATGCGAGTGTAATCTAATCTCCGATGGCTATGTTTGAT